AAGACAGTTTAGAATCAGTGTAGTAAAGATCGGATTAATAAAATTTAAACGAAGTTTTGATTGAGGTTATATTTTATATTTTTTGGCGGTAGAAAATATACGAAGGCTCGAAGTCTTCTATATTGCGTGGTGCAGACGGTGGATTTTCAAAAAGTGTGTGTCGTCCAACCCTTCAGCTAGGTTCTTATAGACCCTATGACAACCCATTGCGTCACTCAACCCAGCTCCGAAAATTGATAAGCTGAATTCTTCCTCGAGGCAAGGATAGATCTCGATGCAGGGTGACGCCATCCAAATAAAGATTCCTCTCACATCAGTATTGAAAATCAGTTAAAATCAGAAGTTTCAAAGGTCCGTTGTAAGAAAGTTATTAGTGCCTTTATTAATTCCTATTCTATTATATTAATCCATTATTTCATTAATAAAACTTATTTTTGTTATATTCAGTGAAACAATATTGTTCCGTCCCGGAGAGCGTGTTTATAACATAATTTTATTCTAAGGCTTACACTTTTGCCAGACCTAACGGTCTATTTTATATTTTATACCGCGACTGCAATTCTGGAGGTTCGATGTGCCTCAACGCCGTTCTAGCGGATTAAGCGTACAAAGGTAAAGCAGAATTAGGTATTTTACTAGAAACCGGACGCGACAGATGGGACCCACTTGTGACAGACCCAACAAGCGACGGACGGACGACACTTATAAATCACGTCATCGACCATCAGAAATCGGCTCCTTGACAGTTTCCTACTCCTTAGCCAAAGGTCCTTATGTCACACCCTCTGTCCAATTAAAACTCTTTACCTTTCCACCACCAACATCTATTTTACCCAATCAGAACTAAACTAGAGAAAACTCCGGACCGAACACGACGAGACAGGACATACAGCAAAATCGACGAGTCAGTTCGTCTTCGGCACCAATCCTTCAAACATCTAAATTGCTCATACAAACGCGTGTTCGAAACGGTACTCCGTTAACGTCCCAATATAACTATTCAACACTTTTCACTAAATAAACACTCTTTTTAACCACACACATTTTTGTTCCTTATTATTTCAACTAGTCACGCAATATTAAATTGGCGCGTGATAAGCGTTCTTGGAAATCGAAGGGATTCGATACCGTAGGACGCTACAAATATTATTCTAGTCGATCACTCCCACCATACGATCCTACATAATGCGTGAAAAATCTTTATTTCAATGGCATCACCCTGCATCGGGATCTATCTTTGCTTCGAGGCAAATTGATAAGCTGGATGGTTCCTCGAAGCTAAATTAAATGATGCAACGAGCTGATGCCATAGAGCTTGTAAAACCCTTGCCGAAGGGTTCGAAAGGGCACACATTTTTTGTCAGTCCACCGTGTGCAGCACGCATCACAGGAAAACTCGAGTCTCCGTTTACACCATTCCGAAATTAAGAATAAAATGGAAAGTAAAAGTTCTTATTCAAATTTATTAACCTGATATTACCACAATAATGTGTGGAAGAAAATTTATCCGTTTTGATTTAAACTACATTGTAGTAAATTTTGTTCTTAATTAGTGACTAAAACTGTACCACTTGTTAATTAAAATTGATATATAAAGTGATCTTCGTACGTCATATGACGTTATAGAGGTATATTTAAATTTATACCGATATTATGCGAGAATTTCATGCGGCTTTTCAAAATTTTTAACCTTCAAAATGTTAACGATTTTATATGATTTATTAAAGTCACCATTTATTAATAATGCAGATAAAAATTTACCCACAATGTCAAGTAAATCAAAGGTATGACTAAAATGGTCATATGTGACAATGTTTATACAAATTACGTTCGTATAAAGCTTTGGACTACGATTTCAGAACATACTTTCTATCTTTCTCATAATTTGTTCATTTATGTAAGAAATATACGCATATGCAAAATTTGTGCAATAGGTACAATATATTCGAAATACATAAAAGCTATTAATATATTAATATATATTGATATCTTCTTATATTAATATATTCTTAATATATTCTTAGATTGTTTTAATAGTAAAGGAAGAGGTTCCTTTGTTCATATTCCATTACTTTATCATCTATAGAAATATGTATTGCATGAAATAATAATAACAATAACGTAATAATAAGAATGTTGTGGGATTGTGAAGGTAGATATGTACATATATCGATGTCGCCTTGACTATTGTATAACAACCATTCTCTTATAATATATACTCGATGCGGTGAGAAAATAATTTTCATACGAAAGAAACTTGTTTAAAATATTAAAATTTGTTACTTTTAATTTTACTTTTAAATTGTTTCTTATTGTACTTTGTTTGGAACTTTTCAAGAGACGATATAGACTATTAGGAAAATACTTGTATATACATAGTAATTGTATATGCTGCAGTTACTAAAACGCTATGCGAAATTGTCAAATGTTTCTAAAATAAATTGTACTTTGTGAATAAACATAAGGAAACGTGAATTATATTTAATTACAAGCATAGATTTATCATTGAGTAATAACTAAGTTAACTCCAAAATGTGGCCCTACCTTCTCTTGATTTATACCTGATTATAAATGTTTTCGGTTAAATTTTTATTTAATTTTTTCTAAATTTTTGGTGAACCGTCTGCCCTCGAGATCTTAATGTTATTTTTATCATGAAAGATAGATTCACGTGTCTAACAAAATTTGACAAACTTTCATATATATTGTATATTGTTAGATATAGTGTATAATGTTAGTTAAAAAAATATTTGAATAAGCATATGACGTAATTTTTTATTCTACTTTCTCCACATTCGCATACTCCTATTACCACAATAAATATTACACTCTATATTAACTGTTCTGTAACGTAATATAATAAATTTTTGTACCCATTGTTCGTTTAAAATTTAAAACATATTATTTACCTTATTTTTAAATAAGATCTGATTGTTTCCTTTTTTGTCATTTGTTGGTGTTATCATTACAATTATTATTACTATTTTATTCTATTTTACAGTTTCAATGAATAATTTTTATCCGATTCAAATTTTTGAAAAAATTTTCAAACGTCGCAATAATTCTAAAAACAACGAGCATTCACTTAATTGTTCATTTAATCACGGAAACTACCATCAATATTTAAAAAAATATTTGATTGAATATTAAATTTAAAACAAATGAAATTGATTATCTTTTTTCTTTTTACATAACATTCTTTTCCTCGTTTTGATGCAAACACTAAGCACTCTATTTATAAAATTCAAAATGACATTGATCTTGAGTAAACTATATTGAACAAACGGTTTAATTATTTATAGCTTCATTTTTTTACTGTACATTTCATACTTTAACTTTAACATTCCTTACTTCTATGCATTTAATTGTTATTTTGACGACTCGTGTACATTTCTGATAGACTACTATCATTGAATATGTAAGTTAGTTAGGTGACTTTAAATTAATCCTTCTGTAATAGCCATTTTAAATTTAAATATTTGCCTTAAGCATTTTTACAAAACTACAAAGTGTTTACTATTTGGGTTTACCTAATTTTATGTGACATAATTAGTTAAAGCAATAGGTAAACGATTAGATATGTATTACATGATCTACAAATAAATTTCACTATAATTTATTTATAAATAAAAAGAATTTTATGCCTTAAGCATTTTTACAAAACTACAAAGTGTTTACTATTCGGGTTTACCTAATTTTATGACATAATTAGTTAAAGCAATATGTAAACGATTAAATATGTATTACATGATCTACAAATAAATTTTGCCATAATTGATTTATAAATAGAAAGTATTTTGTTGGAAAGGGCATCAGATGTATAATACAATTAACTTAGCAGCTTTCATATATTATTGAATGAGAGAGTTACAGTTACGTTATGGTCACCATATTGTAACGCAAGTTTTATGTAACTTGAAAATCTTAAAAAGAAATGCTCGAAAAGTGTTTTTTTATCTAAAGTATGATAACTTTGTTCAGGAAAAAATAATATTACAAAAATCTTTTTGCCATTTCTTTACACGTTTCCGCGAAAATCAATTCCCTAGCAATTGGAACACATTCATATATTCAGATGCTGTGAATACAAGAATTCTCACTGAATATGGAATTATAAAAATTATTGCCTGATATTACGTTTAATTTATATACTAATCAATTCTCCGGTATAGGAAAATTTGGTAAAAGATGATAGAAGAATTTGAAAAGAAGAATATAAAAAAGAAAATATCGAATCGTCTATCAATTCCAATAAATTTATGATTTTACGCAGATGTTTATAACTTATTTCATATTTCATGTTATTACTTATTTCTTATTTACTTATTTCATACTATTTCTACAAAATTTTTTTTATATTTAGAAAGTTAAAATTTAATCTCGAAGATATAAGTGAAAAGTTGTTAAATAAATAGTTGTAAGAACGGAATTCTAAAATGGGTAGTACAAAATAAATAACGGTATAAATAATATAAACAAAAATGGTGTAATAAAATTAAAGTAACGGCAATGACGAAAATTCAGTACTGAAAAATAAAAAATTCACACTAAACTTTTAACTTCCTACCATAAACTCACGAGTATGTAACGTGTAATATCGCGACGGTACTCGATTACCGATTACAAGACTGACAACCAACCATTTCTTTACTCCATTACCCCTTCCTGACACACACGAAAAGAAGAAAAGAAAGATGAGAAAAATATGTAACTACGGAAACCATTGCACTAAAAATTATTAACGAAATGGGCAAACAGAAACGAGTCAACACCGGATAAAACGAATTTTCTCGAAGGCATACCAGGAACCATCGTAACTTCCAGCGTGACGATATTTCTCGCGTGGGTTTCCGAACCACGGATCACGCTCGTAAAAACATGGAATCCTCCAAAGCATGTGTAGCAAATCGTGCGTGTGCCGTACAAACTAGCAAATGCCAGATACTGGAAGAAAAAGAGAGAAGGACGGGAAAAAGGAGACAAAAGGAGAGAAAACGTACCTTTGAGAGGTAGTTCCAACTTGGCGCTGGTCGATCCGCGTCCTTTGAATATGCAGGCGCTGTTACGATCGAAATCAGCGTAGGCGACCCCGTAAAACGGTTCCTCGAACTTCAATTCAACCTGCATGCTGCCCTGGCTGCAATTCAGGTACGCCTTCGTGCGATTCAGAAATATCATCGACGAGATGTCGTCCAGTTTGGTCACCTTGCCGTTCAGCACTGTGCTAGGTGGTAAGCCTGGCTGATACTCGATACTGTTCCCCTGCGATGCGTAGTTGCTCTGGGACAGCACTAAAGGAAGTGCTGTCCAGAGCACGGCCAGCAATCTTGGCAGCATCTGGATAACAAAAAGAATTCATTTGAAATACCTTCGATGAAACTGCATAGATATCTGGGTAGTCCACATTCAATAACAATTTTTTTCTTCCTCTCAACACTAAAACTACCCATCCAATACTAAAAAGACTAGTCTCAAAATTTCCCGTTTTGCTAGAATCGTAGACCTGCTTTTAAAAATTTAATGTCGACTCATATTGAGGTGGAACTGTAATTAATATATTTACTTATCTTCATCGTACCACAAAAATTACTATTACCTATGCCAGCTATGTTTAGGTATCCATTGAAGATCGGTAATTCTAGTATTAACACTAGAAGGGTTAAAATGATATACTTCAGGCTTCTAATTTCCGCAGTTGCTGAAAATATCCATTTGAGTTTCATAAAGTTAATACCGATTTTCCATATAAATCAGAATTACATGCGTTTTTAGTTTTATTATTTACTTGCTTCAATTAATATCAATTGTGTGTGGTATGTAAGTACAAGTTACAGCTCGGTACTTGCAATATTAAATAAGAATTATAATTTGTGCAACGAATTATTTAATTTTTACGAAAATTTGTTCAAACGGAATTTCTATATTAACATCTTCTCTGAATATAATATAGTCGCTAAAGGTTAGGTATATTTTCGTTTCATTTTGTTTATTTTTATTAGCCATAATATGTTATTCTTACAACCATTGTCTAATCTTCGAGTATGCATCATCAGTGACCATGAATGGTTGAATGTCAAATGTTTAATGTACTATCGGTGGAGCACGTGTTAATGGTATATGTAATTTATGCATATTATAATACCGTAATATATAAATATCAGATATTTATATTTATATTATGTATTATAGGCTGTCACATGTCACATATATGTGCATATAAATATTTATATAACGATGTTCCCTAAGATATTAGTACATGTAGGTATATCTGAGTATATCCATAATTTAACGCAGATATTTATGGGTTTTGTTGAAGGAAACAGGTTTAGGGTATTTGGAAATAATTTATAAATTGCGTTTATATAAGCTTGATTTAAGCAATAAACAATAAAAGATGAAATTGATAAATCGATTTTTAATAGATGTAAAAGAATTTATTCACAAACTGACATCAAATCCTGATTTATCTACACTAAATGCTTAGAATATTAAGGCTATGATATTTATACACAATTTATATAGCAGGTAAATACAATTCGACTTTTTACAAAAAGTTCGAGCAAACGTGTAAAATTTAATGTTCTTTATTTGGAACGAAGTTTCTTCAAAAATATCTTTTAGAGATTCATCGTGTATATATTTACTTGGGCATGTAATTTTATTTAATTGGCATGCAACTAACTTATAAGATAACATTCGTCAAGCGATTCCCTGTATAAAATTGAGGTAAGAGTGAAAAATAAAATTTCTTAATTCTGAATTTCCTATTTTCGAGTTCTTGTAGTTCTTGAAAGAATCGAAAATCTGTATACATAGTAAGATAGTACTTATTGACACTATAATCCTCACAATCAGTATGAATGGACCCAATGTATAATTTCTCATTTTCTTTTCTTTTTCAAGGAAACACAGAGAAAAACTTTAAGAATGAAAATTTTATCGATTAATTATTGCATGTTCTAGACGTAGGAATTAAATTAAGAATAAAAATACTTTCTTTGTGCATATCTGATTTATTCTTACATATGAAATATCCGCTTATGCGACATTTCCGATCGCGCGCTTTATAGTAAAAATTAACCCTTTGTACTCTGTTGTCGCCTCTATGGAGACATTGTAAGAGAGCTTGTAACTCCGTTGCCATTGCTGAAACACTAGAATTCCGCTGGATTTATATCAAATATTGTTAAATAAAATTCCCGAAACACAGGGTTACCGTATGTTTATTGAAAGATATTATACCAGTATGCCTTTGACAGAAGAAATGGTGCAAATGAAATGCTACTGGATTGGTAAATATTGTACTATAAAAGCTAACAGGAAAGGTAAAATGATTCGGAGTTGCTGGTAGGTCATATTAAAAATTGCTCGGAGTGCAAAGAGTTAAGAATATAGGGAAACAGAAAATATTAAACTAATTATGTAAAGATACATCTAAAATATAATTTTGTATGAGACATACAAGACATAAATATTGTATTTTAAGGTATTTTGTATTGTAAGGTATATTATGTAACAATATTATGAAATAAAATTATAGCTGATTATAATGTACAGAGATAACTAAACTAACTAACTAACTGGTCGGAACGGTAGTGTTATTGGACTCATAAACAAATTCCATTGAAGAAACAAATAAAGAAAGAATAGCGAATACCAAAGGATCTTATAAAAAAAATGGATTTCAAAATAATTGACTTACCATAATTACTATGGTTTCTTCAAATAGTAAATAGTATGGTTTCTTCATTAGTATTTTTATTCTAAAGATTTTCTCTAAAGTATTTACGTTTTCCGACTCAAATACCACACGATATATGTTTTATGTATGTCATAATAGGTGTAATATTTTTCATTAAGTACTAATATGAGGCTGAAAACTATGTCTGTATGCTTTTATTCGTATATTTATTAGCGTAGAACTTAGAAATAAAGGAAATTGTAAAATATCAATTCAAAGCTAATTAATTTTAGCCCTCTGTAATCAGAATTTTTCATTGTTTACAAAGAAAAGAATTACAATTGACTACTAGAGTCTGTTGCTCTGATTTGGAAATTAAAAATTAACAATTGTTACAGATGGATTATTTGTCACGGTACAGTGATAAAATACAATAACCAAGTGATAAGTAGGTAAAATAAAATTTTGTAACTGTAGATGTTCCTGTATGTATCCTGTACGTAACATTGCATTGCGAAGAGTTAAGTAAAATTTTATCGCAATAAAATCGCGATATATCATAAGAGGAAATGATGTAATTTACAATATTTTGCCTTGATTTAATTCTTTACCAGAATTAATACTGTAAAATAACAAAAGTGCAGACGAATCGAATAACTTGAAAATATGCTGAAATTACAACAGAAACAAGAATTTAACCGTCAATTTCCTTTTCCCGTTTCATAGCCTAACATATTAAGTAGAACAACCATAAACGCGGATGCACTATCTCACGAAATAATTCATCACACAATCATAAAACATATATGAATATGAATGATGGTACTAAATATTTTGAGATATTTTATAAACTTTCAAGTGATATGAAGTAATAAACGAACTGAAAGCAAATGCATCTTTTTCTTAAATGCGATATCATAGTTTTGTAATTCGCGAATTAAAATATAGTTTAGTATTAATAATATTGAAATTAAGAATGTTTCAATACTTTTACAAAGAAGAATTGCTAATAATTGGAATTTCATCAATGTTATGCAAAAAAGTGGTCCAAGTTAGCCGATTTAACAATTTAATTTAATTTAACATTTTGTGGCAAATTTTGAGGAAGTTAGGTTACTCGTTTAACTGTTAGTTAAATTAAAAAAAATTAGTGGTAGTAATTATTCACATATTCTCAGTCATATTTTAAGTAATTTCAAAAACCAAGTTTATTTAACAAATTATGATTTGAATAAAAAAAGGGGGTGTTTATAAAATACCACTTCAAAAAGAGTAAAGTGGGGTACTCGTTTGTGAAATTCCTTTCGATAAAATAATATCTAATTTAATAAAAAATGAACGAACTCTTATGAAAACCATCGACCTTCCTACTTCCGCCGCCATCTTGGCATTCGTGCGCACGTTTAAGCAACACGATGCTTAAAAACTCACGATCAGTGTCGTTCTATTGATTGTGCAATCGAAAGTCAGCCAATGCTACTCGGAATGGTAAATCCAGCGGTTCAACGATTATGGTTTCTTTTTTCTCGGTCGCTCGAGATTGTACGAACGTGTAAAAATCGAATCGAGCGAGTCGTGAACGGTAAACGCTCTGTTAGAATTCCTTCGCGAACGTAGGAAACCGATCTGACATTGAAGTTTGCACGGTTACCTACGACTCGAAGGAATACAGTGCATCGGAGAACGGTTCCACGACGTCCTAGTTATTGCTTTAGGTTCGCTCGAGTTTCTATCTGCCGGAATTTTGATTCTTTCGTGGAAAGGAGTCTAAGAACACGTTTGTGGAAAGCATTCCGTTTGAAACTATGACGGTGGAATAAGGAAACCATATTCCTTGGGAATATGCTCGTTCGAGGAATGCTTCTGAGTTAAAGAGTTTTATGTAATATTATTGTTAATAATTATTTGATATTTTCAAGCTAACTGCATAAATTAGTAGCTAATATTTATTGTATTTATTATTTGACAATTGACTGATTAACCATTTGATATTTTATTCATTTTTAGGATTAATGTGAATATTCATCCTTTTATTTAGGATTAATCATTAATTTAGTTCAATATTTAATTTAATTTTCCGTAACTTTACTCATTTTGTCATACTATTGTCTAATTTCCCTTCTTCTAAATCTAAATTCACTTCTTTATCAGAATTAGTAAAAAATTCAGCGTTGTTTAATTATTAATTTATTATTCAATTATTGATTGGTATTCACACTGCATTATATCCGATATAATTGGTACAAGACTATATTTTGTCACAAATTTGAAAACATTATGTATGTACTCATTTATATACGATAAATTAGAAACTGTGAGAATAATTGTGACTTTTATTATCTTGTCATAAAAACGATAATTAAATAAAACCAATCTCAAGTATATGAAATTAAATTGCTCGAATAAATTATATTCAAGTACTTAAGTGACGAATGCAAAATGGTGCAATTAATATTGGGATGTCAGCTTAATAGATAATAGTTTGGAGAAAACCAATAGCTAGTTCCCAGATTATTTTCATCTTATTTACCAGTAAATTATAGAAAAAATGTTGTGGAATAAAAAATTAGAATTTAGTATTGAAAAGGAAGAAAAATTTAAAAAACTGGAATATTGGTAATTGTTATTAAATTTTGTAATAGGATTCCAATCTTGT